AAAGGTCTTCATAAAGCAGGAAGCATGAACAAGTCGAAGTGTTTATTTCAAGTTGATGGTGACTGAGGTTATGTGAATGGCTCAACACACTTGGCCAATGTGAGACCTTGATAACATGATGACTCATGGTTCAGTAGTCTGCACACAACTCGTAGGTTTGGTGTTTTTCCTTTGTGAATTGACATATGTTGAGAATCTCTTCATATTATTAGCAGGGTATGTATAAGAGGAAAGCGCCATATTATCTGTGGAAATCTTGCTACCATGTTTCTTAAGCTAAGAATCATCTCTTGACCACTTGATTGAAAGTAATTGTCTGAAGGTGGCGCTTTTCTGGAAGTTTGATGATATCTATTCTTGTTCTGCGTGTATCAGGATCAAAGTATAAATCTAGTTTGCTTTTGTGGTTCAAAGTAATTTGTATTTACTTGATTATTTTAATTTAATGAACCAGTAGTTTCATCCTTTTTTGATTGGGAGTGCTGTTTTTTTCCCTAGTATTCATGTATCTGAAGCTGTATCTTCTTGCTGATATGGGAGGTGAAAGCTGCAGAACTGACAATCAGCCCTGTTCGTCGTGCTGCCATTGGTATTGCGGATGCTGATAAGATTGAATAAGTCTTGTTGTGCTCACTATCAAATTTACCATTTTCTAGTGCACTTGCAGTCATGTTCTTACACAAACAACTCAAAAAACCCTTAGCTCCCACCCACTCGGAGTTGCCTACTCTTGTTTTTCGTCTTTCAGCTCATAGGGTGTTGTCTGTAGTTACATTATCGGCGCCCTTATGTATATCTGTAAATTCACTTGTCTCTGTTTGTGCAAGTGTATTTTGACTTAAAATGAATACGGCATCATGAATGCACTGGAAATGTAGATACATGGGAGGTGGAATGCAGGCTGTTCTCTACATGTACACAATAAGTTATTCATCATCCGTCGTCTTGTTTCTTGTATTCTTGCTATAGGTCATTTCTTTTCGATTTCGACATCTGGTTCATGTCCGAGAAGATAGATTCTAGAGCAGGTCTCATCAGCTGATATGGTGAAAGAAAATTATAGTTTATTGCTTCATTTTGTTAAAATCTGGTCTGATTGTTCACCACTATTGTGTTTACTACTGTCATTGATCTGAACACTTTCTTTATTTCCCTCTTCCTTGTCATCAGATTCCTAAAATGTATACAGCTCAGAAGCACAATCGATGGGACAAACCAATATGACAATGAAGATGATTGAGGAAAGAGTGCTAAAATCTTCTGTCCGTTTTAAGAAATGACTTCTATTGAAGAGGTTAATGGTGTCCAACACGTGAGTTTGTATCTCTGTAAATTCTTACTTCAAGCCTGTCCACATCATAATAGATTACAAAGGATGTGCCTAGTTCACATGGGATATCTGGCACCTTGTGTTGTAGGATGGGTAAATTAATCGACGTAGTCTATGATACTTCATTTTTTTCACGGATAACATCGTACACAGATTGTTATGATTCTCTCTGGTGACCTCCAAAACATCTTTTTGCTATCCTATGTAGTGGGTAAGAACACATGCATTTTATCAAATCAGGATTTACCTTGTCGATCTTCTTTTGTGGTGTTCACTAAATGTTATCTTCACTATTTTCTTTTAACCCTTTTGTGATTAAAACAATTTACTTCCATTGCTTTAATCACATTTTCCATTGTAGGTTGTGCTGTGTTGGCATATTGCACACTGATTAGGACGACGATTTGGAGCAGTAATTTATTTCATTTGCCTTCAGGTTCAGATGATAGGCATGTGATGGTAAGGGCAACCAAAGTTTTTTGCTGGGTTAGGTGCATAATTCTCGAATGAATTTTATGATATTGCTTCGAAATGTTTACATAGTGCCATGCCTTTGCCATTTATGTCTTCTAAATGGTATCTTGTTGCTGACTCTGCCATCTGTCTTAGCATCTCCCACGTTGTTGTGTGTCTAATTGCCATTCATCTAAGTTATTGTTTCTCAATACTGATTGGCATGACTTTGTGTACACGGTGAATTGGTAGGGTTGGCTCCATGTAGAAATGGGAAATCGCTTGCATATATGCTCACATGGAACATCATGGCTGGTATGGTCCCAACCCCCTTTCAGATCAGAGGCATGATCATTGTGCTCAAGTGCAATCTTAGGACGGTCCATGGAGTGTCCAAATCGGTGTTTAAGAAGAGATCAGATTCGGGATGACTCGATATAAACCCATTTGGCATTTGCATGTCCGGGGCAGATTGTTTCTAGAATAATTTGAACACTATGGTCAAGGGAACGTGATCCAGGCAAAGAAATTCATTTGGAAACTGTAATCTTCCTGGCATGTTGACCAATTCATTGGATGCCTTTGGGGTTTGGCCACTAACATGTTAGAAAGGTAAGCATGTTTATTTTTTCTTTCTTCTTTTGTGTCCATAACATGTGAAAGGGCTCATTAGTGATATTTCTTCTGGTCTAATATTTTCTTGTATCCTTTTTACATAGCAGAAGATATACTGCTGCACCTCACGAGAGGTTTAGATCAAGATTCTTGGCATTTGGCATTTCTCTACTAAGAAGATGTTAGTTCTGTAGCTTCAAAATTGTGGCGTAACGCATTGGACAAGCTTAATTGGAGGTATAGTTGTACATATACCAAAAAAACTGTTCTGTTGGTTTCTTTTTTTGTCCGGGTAGTTTATTCTAGCAAAAATGAGACTGAGAAACCTTTAATACTGTAGTTCGGAAGTAAAACGATAGAGGAGCCTTTAGTGCCCTGTGCAGTTTGGAAGATGAACACTAATACCTGTTTGCTTTACTTTTAGGTTAAGAGAAAGAAGTGTTCAGGCAAGAGTTATAAACAAATCAACTGTATCACAAAGATGAGTAGATGTATAAACAAACTGAGCGGGTGCAGATGGTAAAAGAGGCAGATTATAATATTACATAATGAAAGAGCAGAATGATTTAATAAACATCAAACAAAATAAAAATAATCTAACATAACTGAGCAGTTGATCCGGATTCTGATATGTGGGTCCACTCAGCCAGACAAGGAGGGCTCCCGGACCTTCCTTTTTGTTGGCCTCACCCATCTTCTAATCTTATCAACTCCACAACCATAATCTATACTCCACAACCATAATCTATACTCCACAACCATAATCTTAATGTCCTCTCTCTCTCTCTCTCTCTCTCACACACACACACACACAACCCAATTCACTAACTTAACTATCATAGATCACAGGTTACATCAACAATTATATTGGGGAAATCAATTCCCCCTTTTCGAATCAGAGGGGAAAAAACTTGACATATGAAGGAAAAAGACGCAATCTCCAACCAAAATGTTGGCAAAAAACCCCAGAACAAGCCGTATCTTCTTTCCTCTCCCTAACTAGCTAATTTGGGATCTTTACTTTCTAAATCATGCCTCTGTACAAATGCTAGATCAGTTTGATACCCAACTTGCAACATCATTCTCATTAACCTTAGTATACAATGGTAATTATATAGCTACCTGGATTACCATCAATAGTAGTTGTCACTGGATAACAACCCTTTGGTACTTCACCTGTGTGGAAGAATCAAAGCCTTCAAAGGGACCTCTTTTCCTGTTAACTCTACCACAATCATTAACGTTGCTGCAATTACTAATGTTGAGTAAAGGGTCTTGGTAGAGGAGATGAGTAGTTGGTGTTGGAGTTGGTGCTGATGGAATGACCACTGGTGGTGGTGGGATCTGATGGGTGTCAAGTGGTGGTGGTGGGTGGCGCCATTGAGGTAGAGGTCCAGCCAGGAGGAGATTCTGAAGGAGTGGCCCTGCTTTCATCACAGCTTGCAAAAGCTTCCCCTTTTCTGGCAATGGCTTCTCTGAAACTAGTAGTATTTCAGGTTCTTGCTCTGATGGTGGTCGTGGTAATTGGGGTGGTTGAACTGGGTCAGTAACTGGTGAGGAGACAATGCTTTCTTCACAATCTGAGGATGAAAATCCATTGTTGGAGTCTAACCCTCTTCTGGGTTCATCTTCAATGCTTGAAATTCCTGAGAGTGGAGCTGTTTGTTGGTACTGTTGTAGCTGCTGCTGTTGTTGGAGGAAGAGTTTTTCAAAGAGGAGCCTCTGGCATTTCTCTTGTGCTTCATCTCTTTCTTTGATGGCTCTGTTAAACAGATCTTTGAGTTGGTTCAGTTGAACTTCTCTCATTTTGAGCTCCTCATGTGCTTTCAGCTTTGCGCTTTGTAGCTCCATGGCAGTGAGCAAAAGAGATTGCTTCAGCTCTTCCATGCTCTGTTTCAACCAAAAATAGAAAATACCCAATATAGGTCAGCCTTCAGTTTGCAATGAAAATAAACCCCATTGTTCATATCTGACAAGAAAAGCAAAGAAACCCTAACCAACTAATCTCTGATGCAGAGAATTCAAAATGATTACCACATTTCTTGGCAGAAGAGGAAGATAGATATTTTTACCTTTGTTTGACAGTAGTAACCCCAATTTAGAAGAGGATTTCCTTGATTGTCCATTCTCCTCTTATGGATTGATGGGAGAGAGAGGGAGAGAGAGATGTATTGAGTAGTGGTGGTTGGTGCCCCTTATAAGGAGTAAATTTGGAACTGTTTTCTTTTTTTGTGTCTACTCCTCTGGTGTGTTTTTTTTTTCCTTGAGGAGGTTGGACAAAAGCACAAAAGGCCAAACAGCCTACTAAGACCAAACCCTAAATCCTATTCCCTTTAATGAAATCTGATCGAACTGACAAGTCAGTTTTTGTTCACAGGCGATGGCTCTATACACATACTAAGCGCAGCGGGCATTACATTTCAGCGACAAACGCGGGAGTATGGACAAAACTGAAGGGGAAAATATTGTCCTTACCAAATTTTTATATTAAAATTTTTATTTTAAGTAATGTGGTATAATCTCTGTTATTAATATTACTTATCTGATGATAAAAAATTATGTCTTATCATTTGAAATGAAAATTTAATAAAAAAAATGATAAATATAGTATTATTCAAAGACAAGGGGAGAGAGAACCCAACAGATACCAAAGAGACCAAGAGAGTGAATGTGCTCCCGCTTCCGGCCCTTTATCCATCTTTCTAAAAATCTGCATGATTGAGCGCTAGGTCCGGTGGATAAAAATTTGAATTTTTTTGTTAAATATTTAAGTTTGAGTTTTCATAATTACAATAACTCGATAAGACTAAACTTATTTTTCAGTGTTTAGAGCATGTAACAAGACTTTAGATTCAACTTTAACGTAAGTGTAGGACTACAAATAATTGTATGGTGTTGAGAAATAATATTCTCTGACAGATATATTAAATAACTTATCTATATAATTATGTATTAATAAAAATTTGAGTCTTAGTTACACTTTTATGTTTCGTTTGATATGATGAAAAAATAGAAAGATGGAAAGTTAGAGAGATAAATAAAATGATGGAAAGTTAGAAGGATAAATAAAATATCATGTTTGGTAATGAAAGAAAATAGAAAAGATAGAACAATTGATAAATTAACTATCCTTCTAACTCACCAAAATCAATCCCTCCAAAAATCAGAAGAAAAGTTAATTATTTGTGTTAAAATTTAATCTTATTTGTCTGAATATCTTTTGATATATAAATTAATTTCATATAAAAATACAATAATAAAATATATGTTTATATATATATTTTAAATATCAGCTAAGTCTCTGTCCACTTCACACGAGTCTTTTTTGCAATTTCATACATCTTTTGAGGTGAAAATTTTAGACTCAGCACAATGACGTTACTCAAAGTTGACACGAATTTTATGTTTCGAATTTGATTATTACTCGACACAAACTTGAAATAACTTGACACGTGAATAAGAAATATAAACGGTTCATATTCAGTTTAACCTGTCAAACTCAAAATTAACACCATCAACTCGTTTATTTAAAAATAAACATTTTTTATATTTTCTAGTTTGTATAATAACACGAAACTAACATGTTTAACTAATATTATAGACATAAAATATTATTTATTTGTAACAATTTATTTAGCACTGACATAATTATTATATAAAAAAGATATTTTTACTTATTATTATTTTTATTATATTTATTTAAATTAATTTTTAGTTTGTTGAAAAAATATTAACATGAATTCAATTAAGTAAAAATAGAATATTAGCGTTAAATTTTTTATTCAAAGTTTATGTGGGTCAATACGAATACGAACACGAACATAACACGAAAATACACAACACAATTAGTTAAATGAGTTGAGTTAGGTTAAACTAATATTCGACACAAACCCGTAATAATTTAACATGAACCTGACACGACAAGACTCGATTGTCACCCCTAATGTTAGCCAGCACAAAAAAAAAAATAATAATTTTTTATTTGTCATCCATCCTACCAAACACAAAAAAATAAAGTGTATATCTCATACTTTTTATCATTCCTACCAAATGAAACATAAGAGAGTGAATGTGCTCTGACCCTTCATCCATCTCTCTAGAAAATCTGCATCTGACCATTGAGCGGTAGGTCTAGTGGACAAAAAACTTGAATTTTTTTTGTTCAATATTTAGGTTCGAGTTTTCATATTTGCAACAACTCAATGAGACTAAGCTTTCCTTTAAGTGCTTAGGGCATGCGGCGAGATTTTAGATTCGGCTTTGACGTAGGTATGAGACCACAGATAGTTGTGTGATGTTAAAAAATAATATTCTTTAACAAATATGTGTAATGCCTTGTCTGTATATTTATGAACTAAAAAAAATTTGTGTCTTGGTTACACTTTGAGAAAGTGCTCTATTGGGACTTTCATGCTTTCGCATTAGTGGTGATACCTAGAATATTCTAAGGTTGAGCTCGGTCAGGCAGCTTGGAACATCCCAGATCAGATCATTTCGCTCATCACTAGGGGAGCTCAGGTCGACACCTCTCCTCAGCAAGTGCACGAACAGTAAGGATGACAGTTGACCTCCACCCAAGTACCACCTAGACATCGTAACGGTCTCATGCTTGAGTAAGGAAATCGTAACCGTTTCAACAAAGTTTATGACAATCGCACATAAGGTGCAACCGTTACAACGACAATGTAAGAATCGCGCCAAATATCAAGCGATGCTTTGAAAGACTATAAATAGGAGACATATCCCTCACAATAGGGCATGACCAATTTGGCTAAAACATTACTATGTGTAAAATCCTCTTTCCTATCAATAATATCACCCCCAAGAGCAAGAGAGTCCTTCAAGAGTAGATTAATTGAGCTCTGAACTAGTAAACCACTAGAAATCCGTTGTGTGCCATCCCCCACTTCCCCGTTCGATTCTTCAGAGCCTAGAAGCTCCGACTAAACTAATCAGTACTCATTAATCCCTGAATATCATTAGTTCTGATCATTTGCGTGCCATACAGTTAGGGATTTGCATTCTTAGATCGAGTTCCGTTTGGATCATCTTTCCTTGGTTATTATGTACTTCGTTTTTCATTCAGTTGTGTAACATGAATGATTAATAATTCTCCCTAGAATCCGGTAGATGAACAACATAAATTGAATTCTCCCAGGCATGAATTTGGCTAGACGCAATTTTATATGGTGTACAAGAAATTAAAATTTTTTTCGAAACGTTCGAAATGTTTTTGTTTCATTAAAAATGAAATGAATTATTAATTGAATATCAAAATTCTTATATTTCGAGATGTTTTGACATGTTTGATCTATATTTTGATCAATGTTACGAAAATAAATTTTCAAAATTTTTTTTATTTCCAAAATATTATCAATACATTTTCGTTTTCAAACTCATCCAAACTATGCACAGAAACAAAATTTTAATCCTTAATGGTGTAAACTTAAACACGACATTGATTATAATGAATCAAGTTTACAAATTTTTTTTTAACACAATACAATGTACGCTTCAATTAAAAAAAAAAACATTCTCTATGCTTCTACCTGTCTGAGTTACCTTAGAAGAAGTGAAAAATCGAGGTTTACATTGAAACCTCATTTCTTTTTATTGCATTAAGTTATGTGATTGTAATTTAGAGCCTCAATTGCGTAAAGGTTCTTCCACCACGTGGGCTGCTGACCTGGTAAAACTTAGGATGATTAGTTTTCCTTTATACGAATGAATGTATTATCTTTTTCGTATATCTTAGGACAAATACCAGATACCTAAGAAAAAGTTGTCGTAGATTATCATCATGATAATTCGGTAGAATTTTTTAGCCTTCGCCAAGAAATTCAATTTTTTTTTTGTTTTCTTCTATGAAAAAATTGATTTTTTTTTATTAAAATAATGATCATCGGGATAAAAGCATTAAAAAGGGACAAATTTGATTAGATGACACCGTGATAGTTGGTGGCGAGCTCGCTTTGGGTAAAAACTCTATTATGTTTGAAAATATGGCATTTGGAAATATTATGAAAAGCTACAAGAAGGAGAAAGGATACTTCCCAATGGCATTTTCCAATATGGTGTTCTAATTCTAGTGGAATTATTAAGAAAATATACAAATAACCATAGGTACCTGCTGTAAAACAGAACTATGTATACATGTGTGTACAACTTCTATAATTGAAGGAAGGAGTATTTGTCAATTGAATGTGGAAACATTCCCTAATAGAGATGACATAATCACGTCAATACTTAACCAATTGCGTTGCTACGATATTACTTACCATCTTTTCTATGAATACAAATTAGGAAAAAATGGAAAATAGAAAATGAAATAAATTTATGGCTTTCTCAAGATCTCATCTATGGTCTTCGATGATTATTTCATGAAACCAAGTGTTTTAATAATTTAGTTTGGTAGAAAAAGTAACATATCAAGAATGTCAAATGCATGTGGTTTTTGAATAATTAATCGCATTCAAGAGTTGCATTTCAACTACAAGTTTAACATGCACATAATTGAGAAGATTTCACACCTTATTGGGGGTATATATATATGTGTGTGTTTTATCCTTTAAACCTCTACACCTTAGTTACTTGGCTTTGGCTTCAAACAGTTGAAGTACTTCCCTAACTCGGCACCAAAGTGAATCAATGAATCTTGATCTGCGATTTGTATTTTCGATCTTTGACCACCTTTTCCCACATTTTGTTATAATAGATACTTCGATTTTAACTTACGGAGGCTGGTAAGTAAAGTCAATCCTTTGCTCGGGGACTAGGAGGTCGGAGATCAAAATACACTCATCATCCCTTGTAGTATCTTCGACCGACCAGTGGTTTTCTTATTCTGGCTTTGAGTTGAAAACCTTCTTAATGGCAATGTGCATTGATAGTCACCATCGAAAACAGAACATTACAAGAAAAACTTGGGTCAGAAATGGTGACCAATTCTAATGTTATTAGGCTATCCTTCAATTTTGAACCAAATCAATTTGTGCGGTGCGATTCAAAGTCTTGCTTAAAATGGGAAACAGTCAGATCAGCAATTAGATGTTGACCGTTCCGAGAATGCCATAGTAACATCACGACAATGCACTAGCTTGGACTCGACGAATGCTTCCATGTGCCC